TTGCACATGTGAGCATTGTTGACCCTGTAAAGTGGCTCTGATACGTGGCCAACAGAATAAGCCTTCACGTCGACTCCTTCCTGCACACTGGCATACCGTTAGTCACCCGTGGCCTTTTCTGAGGGTTGGAAGCGGCCAAAAGCACTCCGACGGTTAAGTCAATTATAGATCAACTGGAACGTAATCACGATCAAGATAGAGCACAAAATAGGAGAGGTATATTTCTATTTTAATGCTTAAAGTTACCCTTTTTTTGCTGCATCCCCTTTCACGGCCAATGTGGAGGTATTTATACTGAGGATGGAAAGAAGGGAACCGTTAGATGAGGAGACACGTGGCACTAGATCCTCAAGGGTCGTCCCATCCTAGCTGTTAACTTGTCAATCCATAGGTTGGCGGACATTTAATGTTCTGACAAAGGCAGGTGAGTTGATCGCTTGTGTCTCGCCACACGTCCCATCAATCAGTCAGGGGTTTGGATTTTCCTATAGAAGATCTTTGCAGAAGTGGGGCGAAAGGCTAGTGGGACAGGTGATGCAGAGTGCGGGCCTTTGCATCCGCGGTGATTTGCTGATGAGTTCGGTTCTTCTGTCAGTACGCGAATCACTTCGGAGTGAGGTGATCAGTTCGTCAGATGCTTCGGAAGCTTCGTCCTGTGCTAGTTCATCTCGTTAAACGCTCGGTGTTAAAGGGAATCAGCTCACAGCTCGTCCCCCACGTGGTATGATGTGAATCAGTTCTCCTGACACGTGGCGGATGAGGTGGCGGGTCTATAGACCCCGTAACAAGCATAATGATGTAAGCTGGATTTTTTCCAGGGACACACAAAGATGTATATTAAAAACTTTAATTGCTAATATGATTGAACAATAGTCATACCATGTTAGCTATGTCAACGAGTTGAGCCGAAAAAAAAAGATTGGGCTCGACTCGAGCTTTTTTCTGGCCCGAGCCGAGCTCGGCCAAAAAAATAAGGCTCGGCCCGAGCCGGCTTGATTTTTTAATTTTTTTTTCTTTCTTAGCTGCCTACAGACAGCTTTTATTTTTTTTATTAATTACGGGCCAACCCCCCAAAATGGGGCCTGGTTCCACCGAGCCGGGCCCGGCTCGGGCTTTTCCGGGCTCGAGCTTTTTTGCCATCGCTATACCATGCCTCTTTATAATTAATCAAGCACAATCTTCACTTCAAACTCGAATTGAACAATTTAAACAATATGAAGAAATTAGCTTTTTGTTTAATTTGGAGATGTTACAATATACGACTATTGGATCAACTATGTCACCGTTTCTCGAAGTTAGAGTTTCTAAAAATTTATCTCCGATCAACTATGTTACATAATATATTGAATGTATTAGCTATATTATCAATTGAGAAAGATACAGTTGAACAATTAGATTATTCAATTTTGTTGATATTTATTCAATAAAATCAGAAAGCAAATAGTATTTAAGTGATTGCTCTGAACATTTCCGATCTTGTTATCCCGTTATAATATAAATATTTTGAATAATAGATCTTGTTTGTCATTTATATTAAGTTTCAAGTTAACAATTGTGTC